AACACGTTTAACGATTAACCCCAGAGGTGACGGAAAGAACATATGAAAGAGATTTTGAATTTTATTCAAAAAAGAAGAAAATAAAATTTCTAAAAACCTTTAACAACAAGAAGTTTAATAACAAATTTCTTTACTTTGTGTTCATAAACTACTTCAATGATGATCAATATATTTTATTCATTAAAGCCTTCTACCACGGCTTTACTCTGCAAGAACATTTATTTATTCTTGTGTGACAAACTAAATGTAAGCTACAGTATGCTAGTTCCTTAAGGAATCAAGCAATTTACTGATTTAATAGTCCAGCACAGTAAGAGGAAGTACAGTGCACATAAACCAAACTCCATCTTGACTAATTACAGAGTTATTGCCCTTGGATTCTTTTTCTTGTCCAGTGCATAACTTGAAAATTAATGGTTTGAATAAAATGCATCATACAATGGTCAAGCGCAATGAGAGGAAATGCAGTGCTCAAGAAGTGTAACTCTTTCTGGACTTAATACAGAGTAATTCAATAAAACTCCATCAATGGTCAACCACAGTGAAAGGAAATGCAACATACAAGAACCACAACTATCTTTAATTGCCCTCAACCATAACTATAAATTTAATTCTTTAACAAGGTATTTTGTTACTTGTTACTTCCTCATCCGAATCAGTCTTACGGGGTATTTATCACATTTAGTGATAGTTCTAGTTTCTTGACAAAGAAAGTGTGTTGCCATCTTAGATACCTGGTATGGTTATCAAAGATTTCAAATTAACAATTGTTTGATCTAAAATGCCTCATTTTATTCACATCATTTGTTGGAATTTTAAGGATTTGAAGTCATAACTGTGAAATTTGATCAATAATAATACTGAAATTTTCCAAAAGATAGTCACCCCAAAACTTGAAATTCTTAGTTCCTCTACCAATTTTCATTATAGTCCTGAAAAAGAAACAAGGCCCACCCACCAAAACAAACGTATGTTATACCAGAGATTTTTATTTGAATATTGCTTTTTGGTGTTACCGAGAGTACCGTCGAAGGCTTCCCTTCCCCACTACCTCCACACAAACCCGGACTATAGACATTCTCGCATAAATAATTTGGTTGTAGGATCGTCTTTGGTTCTCTTAAAATGAATAAAAGTTATGCGCCGTGGTCAAAACTGACACCACCCCAAAGGGTCACACATGTGTAGAATAATATTGGGAAATATATTTAAATATTCTTGTGGAAAACAGCAATTCTATAGGTTTATAAATTTGACATGTACACAGGGGGGAACCCCATATGGATCCCAAATTGAGCATCGGTAAAATATGTTTCAAAAAGAGTTTATTTGAATGTTAAGCATTGTTTAGTGGTAAACTTTTGTTAAACTGTATTTTAAGTCCGTTTAGCGACATTTTCTTCATACGCACGAAAACTGAATACAGATCCAGAACAAATATGGGTAAATATTAAAAAAGTCAGAAGGGTAAAATATAATTTGGATTTACATGTACTTAAAAAAAGCTTCTAAATTTTATATAAATGTTCAAACATTAAAGTGGAAAACTTACGATTAACTTATTTTCTACTTCACATATCGTTATAACGCATATCTGGATTAGCGGAAATTCGCATATATATTAACCGATGCTCAATTTTGAGATCCATATGGGGTACAAACCCTGCAATGTTGCATTTTAATGAATCTATATAATTGTTTGAATCCCTGGGATGAGGATACCATGGGTTCCACTAAGTTTTTCATAGCTTAAAGTGACATTATTGGCTTCATCAGAATAACTTTTTAAGGATTTCAATGATTTTGTTTATATTTATTTGAGAAATAAAAGCAAAGGAAATATTTGCCTTTAATGGAAAAGTCGCAATTTGAGCTGTTTACAACAAATTCGAAAATATGCTGGATACGATTTGAGTTGCATTTATACTCCTGAAAAGATTCACCGCAAATATTTTCTGAAAATATTTTTTTGAAACCTCCAGAGAGGAAAGTGTTGCTTCATCCGAGAAAGCGGCATTGTTAAACAAGTCCATCAAGTGTCACAACCTTTTCACAATCTTTTCAGTCTTATCTCTCATTTCATCTCTGTTACCAACATCCGCCTGTAAAGAAAGCAGGCCCGTCCTTACGAACTTGGAAAAAATGAAAACATGAGCAAGGTGATAAGTTTGGATCCAATAATGATTTCTATTTAAACAACATGTGTTGCAAATCCTGAAAGTTCATTGGTTTTGTTTTGTAAGGATAAGGATTTGTGGAATAATATATTGTTCATGATGTGGCGCAGACTTGGATGCTGCAACAAACAAGCTTAGGTGAACAGATTTAGAAACGTAAATATGTTGATCATCTTTGACTTCTTTATAAAGAAGTCCTAAACCTTTTCATGTGAGGAATCTATCGTGCTATGTTATGGAAGGCCGGTGGTTCTGCCTGGTTGTGTCTTAAATAATGCGTGGAGGAGCACCTGAAAGCTTGCTCCATTAGTTGATGTGGAAATTGGCCAGATAATTTTATAACCTTAGCAGTATCTTTGTGACTAAAACATCATTATGACATTATAACAGATTAAATCATACAAAAACAAAGCAGGTTATGTTTTAACTATCTTTTCTTTTAATTGATGTTATAATGTTTCATCTAGCCTGCATTAGTTGAAAAATTTATGTTTAGGTACAAAATTTATAAAATTTTTAAACAATTAATTACTTAAGCCCATCTTATTATTTATCTTGAAGTGATGAAAAATGCTATACTCAGGGTTATCTTTGTATTGATTTTGGCCATAATTATATTATTTTAATGTGTTATTTATAGTGAGAAAGGACGAACGATAGTGTTACATTCACCTGTAGTTAACCATGCCGAGGGATTTGACAGATATAGTGAGTGTATAAAATATATTTATTTATGAAACAAACAATTGGTCTGTCTGCTAAGTTCAATTATAAAAGTAATCCATAGATTGCTGCTCCAATCATTAGTTGAGGCGTAATTTCTATGTGACAGTTGATCATAGACATTGCGTCTAAATAAGTCATTTATCTGTCACCGCTGACTCAGAAATCTGGTGGCTATGTAGCAGTCAGTTTTATAGAAATTGGTAATTATTGATTAGTTATACATAAAAACTGGTTAGGAGGTTTTACTGTCGAGATATTGCCAAAACATGGTGAAATTGACTTAAAACTCCAGAGAAACAAACAAAGTAGTCAAGTGCATGTGTAACACTTCCTCAAAGACTCTCAGCTGTTAAGTTTTTACTTTAAGCTTTTCACCCTAAAGCCAGATCCATGCAGAGGTTTTGGGTTAGGTGGGAAAACAGAGGTTTGATTACAAGTAGTTTAGATCCCGTTATACCTTGGTATAGGAGTTGATTTACAATAAACGTATGCATCATGACAATTTTAATAAATGATCTAAAATAGGAAAATAGCATTATTCCAGAATCATGTTAAAATGGTTTTTTTTTTTTTTTTAATTTAGAAAGTTTTGTTGTTTTTTTTTTGTTGAAAAATTAGCATGTGTTAAATGTAATGGCCATAGAAACTCGGTGTGCGTTTTTCCCATCTTATCAAGAGGTACAAACATATATTAATAACTTTGTAAATATATAAAGACAGATAAGTGCAACACTTGAGTATGAATGATACTGCACTTGGAAGCTATAAATGTAAAAGTTTGTTTGTACTTCATGATCAGAAAGGGTGGGGGTGGGGGGATCCACATTTATGAGTTTGTGATAACACCTGTTGGCAGTTGTTAGTATTGTATATACAGTGACTTTCATTCATTATGCCAGTTGTCAGATAAACAAATTATTTATTGTAGTTATATTTGAATCGTATTTTGTTGCTTTCCTCCAGGATCTGATGAGTTACCACATGAAGCAGGTTTTGACGCGTATATGTGTGGAGTTGGTAAGCATTACTCTTAAAGCAGCATGCCTCCAGATTCATGCTAATTTTCATGAAAATTTTGAATTTTTTTTTAAAATTCAAATATTGTGAAGTGAACAAAGAATGTAATATACACATTGCAAACGGCACTTACAATCCACAAAAATTATCAAAAAGAGGTCAAAATACACATAAATACCTCTTACTGCGTTAGTAACACAGTAGAATTATAGTGATTGATACTACAAAATCATTCATTAATCGCACATAACATGTAAATAATTAATTAAATATTGAATCATTTTACTTTTCTTAAGTTCTTAATAACTTTTTGCTAAAGATTGAATTTTTGAAATATTTTGGCTCATCTGGAGGCATGCAGCTTTAAATGATAAAGCTTCCGGAGCATTAACATTATAGTTTTGTCTATTACTGTATAAGTGGTTAAGTTAGCAACACAGAAATATTGGGTAATTTTGCGAATGGTAGAAAATCGCTAAAATTTTCTCTAGTATAAATGTCGACCAACCTTACAATAATTTCTACACTTGCACATTTTCCTTATATATCCTTGCACAAAATGTCTTGAATTTTAAATTTGCTAACTTTTTTGCGGAAATATCCACTTATTCAGTAAATAATTGTTACTTCTACTGACATAAAACAGTTCTACAATTTCTGAAATGCACTCCTAAAACTTTATTCTAAGTATTAATTTTCTTTAAGCCACATATCGATAATGGTTCAACTTGTTTATCCTGTCTGTGCTTAAAGTGAATACTATGCAGAATGCATTATGTTTGTTTACAAAAGCTTTGGTATTATTACAATTATGTATCGAAACAAAGACTTGCCCTTGTTGGGATGTGAACCCACAAGGCCAGCAGTCCTGAGAGTACTCGGTCATCCTTAGCTTACTAGTCTCATGTGTTAAGCACTCAACTGATGAACCTTATATGTCAGATTCCTGTTTATATAATGGTTTGAGAGTTTGGACCCAAACTCGACCTTTATAATGGTATGCCTGTGTATTTTATAAATATATATACTTGTAATAGACAATGGTGTGCATTTGATGCACGTTATTTTGTTTCAGTATTTCTGAGAGTTGGTCATATCCTGACATTCAAAAATAATAAGTAAGTTAACCCTTTGAGCACATATTAGAATACAAATAAACATAGGCCATAAGTATGTACAGGGTAGGCTGGTTGGTAGGCTTCATTATTAAATCACTGCTAAAGAAAGGCCGCAATGTGGAAATAATGAAATCATGAAATAATAATGCTGCATTATGCAATTTTATGGCAAAATGAGTACAAGGGTAAGTAAATTACCAATATATTATATTTTTTTTATTAAATTTTTTGGTCTGTTTACTTCAAGTGTTACTCATTTTGACCACAGTGTGTTGCACAGATTTGGCATTAACTTATGCCACTAAATTTCCCTGCATTACCTGATATACACAGTGTAAATGGGCAGATCTGATTTTAATGCAGGGCAAGATTATTTCAAAAATTTAAATGTGCATGAGTTTAAAGTCCAAGTTTTAGTTTATAAAACAGAAGCAAAGTTGAGGAAGCTGGAGTTAGGTAATGGCACTAAAGTATAGTGCAGAAAGCAGAAGTTAAGTTTATAAACTAAAGTTAAATGAAGGAAGCTATTGTTAATTTTTTAAAGCTACATTTATGTTGGGGAAGTTAAGTTTTGAAAGAATTGTTGCTAAAGCTTAAATAAAGGCGATGAAGTTAAGCTGTTGAAGATTAAGTATTTATAAAGAAGCTAAAGGAAATATTGTGGAACTACAACGATTTTTTTTGCAGTAACTAACAAGGGGTGTTTGATAAACCAGGAAAAGAGTTATTACTTAATTATTTAAAGATCCTGTATGTTGCAATTAAGGTTGTTACCACACTGAAGTAAAATTTTATATATGTGTAAAATTATGCTTCTAAAACAATTTTCAAACATTGAAGAATATAATAATATGTACTGCAAATATTTGTGCACATTATATGTAAACAATTAAATATATGCATTCCTTTCTGTGGTCGAGGGGTTAGAGTCCATGACTTCAAATCCAGTTACCTCTCAGGTGTTGGTTCGATCCACGGGAGATGCTTTGGTAGTTTAGCGCGGAGTAAGGTAGTCTAATACTGGTGTAACTCTTAAGGAACGATGGTTAGGAAAGTACCCGCCTATATGACTGAAATACTGGTGGGAAAAGGCTGTAAATGAAACAAACAAACAAACAAGCATTCTTTTCTTATTGAAATAAAATGACTTACACTTTATAGAAAATAAATTTGTTATCACATCCCTTTATTAACATGAAATGTAAATTTGGTAGTATCTTTCATTTGCTTTTTTGAACTTACAATATTGATAAATCTTCATTTGAGCATTATGTTTCTGATAAAAAAAAACATAAAAAATAAGTTACAGACTCGTTAATGGCATTGTTTTTGTGCCATATTTACAGTTTCCACAAAACAAGGGTTCTTAGCTTCCATTGTTTACAGGAATGATGTTTTTTTTAAATTTTTCAGTTGTTGCTTCTTTTAGATCAACATATCATCCGTCCGTTCGTAAACTTTTACTTTAAATGACATCTCCTCATAAACCACTAAGCCAATTTTATCCAAACTTCAAAGGAATTTTCCTTTGGTGGTCACCTTTAAAAATTGTTCAAAGAATTTAATTCAATGCAGAACTCTGGTTGCCATGGCAACCAAAAGAAAAAACTTAAAATATCTTCTTTTAAAAAACCCAAAAAGCTAGAGCTAAGATATTTGGCATGAAACATCTTTTAGTGAGTGTCTACCAAGTTTGTTCAAATAAAAGCCCTGGGGTCAAAATTGGCCCCGCCCCAGGGGGTCATTGATTTTCCCTATATGTATATAGAAAAAGCTAAAAAAATATTCTTTTAAAGAACCGAAAGAGCTAGAGCTAAGATATTTAGCATGAAATATCTTCTAATAAGTGTCTATCAAGTTTGTTCAAATAAAAGCCCTGGGGTCAAAATTGGCCCCGCCCCAGGGGGGGTCATTGATTTTCCCTTTATGCATATAGTAAAAACTTAAAAAATCTTCTTTTAAAGAACCCAAAGAGCTAGAGCTAAGATATTTAGCATGAAACATCTTCTAATGGGTGTCTACAAAGTTTGTTCAAATTAAAGCCCTGGGGTCAAAATTGGCCCCGCCCCAGGGGGCATTGATTTTCCCTATATGTATATAGTAAAAAAAAACTTCTTTTAAAGAACCCAAAGAGCTAGAGCTAAGATATTTAGCATGAAACATCTTCTAATGGGTGTCTACCAAGTTTGTTCAAATAAGAGCCCTGGGGTCAAAATTTGCCCCGCCCCGGGGGTCATTGATTTTCATTATATATGTGTATAGCAAAAACTTAAAAAGTATTCTTTTAAATACCTAAATAGCTAGAGTTAAGATATTAAGCATGAAACATGTTCTAGTGAGTGTCTACAATGTTTGTTCAAATAAAAGCCCTTGGGTCAAAATTGGCCCTGCCCCGGGGGTCATTGATTTTCCTTATATGTGTATAGGAAAAACTTAAAAAAACATCTTTGAAAAAAACCCAAATAGCTAGAGTTTAGATATTAAGCATGAAACATGTTCTAGTAAGTGTCTACAAAGTTTGTTCAAATAAAAGCCCTGGGGTCAAAACTGGCCCCGCCCCAGGGGTGTCATTGTTTTTAACTATATGTGTATAGTAAAAACTTAAAAATCTTCTTTAAAAAAACACAATGAGCTACAGCTTAGATGTTTAGCATGAAACATCTTCTTATGGGTGTCTTCCAAGTTTATTCAAATAAAAGCCCTAGGTTAAAATTGGCCCTGCCGGGGGTAGGGGAGGGCAGATCATTGTTTTTCATTATAAGTGTGTACATCATGAAACGTCTTCTTATAGGTGTCTTCCAAGTTTGTTCAAATAAAAGCCCTGGGGTTTAAACTGGCCCCGCTCCGGGGGCCTACATACAGGTGAGCGACCTTAGCGCCATCATGGCCCTCTTGTTTGTTTTATGAGCTAATTTTGGAGTTTTTGCCCTTTGTTCATTTTTTATACTTTCCAGTGTCCAGAACTTTCTCGGGGAGCATCGACCGGTTCAACCTGTTCTTGTTTTCAGACTTGTTAACATGTGATGTATTTCATGATTTACAGATTTGCATGGCTAAACATAACCCTGTGTTGCCATAGTTACTGTAGATTTTGCATTATTGCAACAAGTATATTTTTATGCCCCCCTTCGAAGAAGAGGGGGTATATTGTTTCGCTAATGTTGGTCTGTCTGTCTGTCGGTCCGTCGGTCTGTTGGTCTGTCCGTCGGTAGACCACATGGTTTCCGCTGATTATCTTGAAAAGTATTAATCACAAAGTCTTCATATTTCACATAGTGATTGGTCATAACTAGTCGATGACCGCTATTGATTTTGGGGTCACTAGGTCAAAGGTCAAGATCACAGGGGCCTTAAATGTCAAAATGGTTTCCGCTGATCATCTTGAAAAGTATGTATCACAAAGTCTTCATATTTTACATAGTGATTGGTCATCACTAGTAGATGACCCCTATTGATTTTGGGGTTACTAGGTCAAAGGTCAAGGACACAGGGACCTTAAAATGTCAGAATGGTTTCCGCTGATTATCTCAAAAAGTATTTATCACAAAGTCTTCATATTTCACATAGTTCTTGGTCATAACTAGTAGATGACCCCTATTGATTTTGGGGTCACTAGGTCAAAGGTCAAGGTCACAGGGACCTTAAATGTCAAAATGGTTTCCGCTGGTTATCTTGAAAAGTATGTATCACAAAGTCTTCATATTTCAAACAGTGATTGGTCATCACTAGTTGATGACCCCTATTGATTCTGGGGTCACTAGGTCAAAGTTCAAGGTCACAGGGGCTTTAAATGTCGAAATGGTTTCCGCTGATTATTTTGAAAAATATGTTTCACAAAGTCTTCATATTTCACATAGCGATTGGTCATCACTAGAAGATGACCCCCATTGATTTTGGGGTCACTAGGTCAAAGGTCAAGGTCACAGAGGCTTTAAATGTCAAAATGGTTTCCGCTGATTATCTTGAAAAGTATGTATCACAAAGTCTTCATATTTCACATAGTGATTGGTCATCATTAGTAGATGACCCCTATTGATTTTGGGGTCACTAGGTCAAAGGACGTGGTCACATTACCTTAAAATGTCAAAATGGTTTCAGCTGATTATCTTGAAAAGTATTGATCACAAAGTCTTCATATTTCACATAGTGATTGGTCATAACCAGTAGATGACCCCTATTGATTTTGGGGTCATTAGGTTAAAAAGGTCAAGGTCACAGGGGCCTTAAATATCAAAAGAGTTTCCGCTGATTATCTTGAAAAGTATTCATCACAAAGTCTTTATATTTCACCTAGTTATTGGTCATAAGTAGTAGATGACCTCTATTGATTTAGGGGTCATTGGGTCAAAGGTCAATGTCACATGGGCCTTAAATGACAAAATGGTTTTCGTTGATTTTTCCATAATTGAACACTTCCATTTACCTATTTTTGGCAAATTTCTGTAATAAAATTACCAGTTATGTGAGTCAATGGCTAGAAAGGGGGGTATATGTGTCGTTCGACATTCTTGTTTCTGTTGAATTATAAACATTATACATCTAGTATCAGTTTCGATTTTTGATTTAGATAAGCGTATATATCCTTTTCTAAACCCCTCATACAGTAGTTGAAGTAACTTTTTATTTAGACTTGTCAATATCTCTTGGTAGTGTCAATGTTGTCAATGTTCTCTTTATTTTGCTATTGTACATTTTAAAACTTGAATGATAGATTTGGGTATGACATGGCATTTTGGCGGGTGGGCTGACAGCAGGCTGTTGGATTCTGGTTCAGATTAACTATTTGCAATCAAACTTGGTGTACAGCAAGCTTATGTGAAGACCTTGCATGTGATTGCTTTTGGGATTCCTAAGGTCAAGGTGATTGCAACTAAAATTTGAAAAACAGTTTTCTGTCAATTACTTGAGTTTGGAATGAGATATTGTTTAGACCTCACTTGGCATCGGTTTGTCAATGTCTTTGTAACTGGAAATATAAAAATGGTTTACAGCCAATAGCTAGGTAAAGAATGAGAAACTGTAATCAAACTTGGTGTATAATAAGCTGATGGACAGACTGATCTCACTTCGGATATATTGATAATTGATAATATGTTGAACTATTCAAGTGTTGCCTTGACCTTAAAATATATTGAGTGTAAGGTCCAGTTATTATCCCAAGCCGATGGAATTGTGAGGGGGATATTGTTTTGGCGTTGTCCATCCTTCACTCCATCCGCGCTATTTCTCTGCAATTACTGGCTGAAATTCTTGCCGAAACTTTTTTGGAACCATCAATACCAACAGGAGATGCGCATATTGTCCCCTTGATCTGGTGTGACCCTTCTGAAGTTATGGTCCTTTATTAGTTATTCAGGGTGTATATAGAGCAATAATTGTTTCCAGGCTTTTTCGCTGCAACTGCTGGCTGTAATTCAATGAAACTTTATGGGAACCATCAATACCAAGAGGAGATGTGCATTTTGCTACCTTGTTCTTCTCAGGCTACTTAAGACAGAGTTAAGGCCCTTGATTAGGTCTCAGTATGTATAAAGAGCAATAATTGTTTCTGCCATATTTCTCTGCAACTACTGGCTGGAATTCAATGAAACAATTTGAAACAATCAATACTGAGGGGAGTGGGCATATTGTTGCCTTGTTTTGGTCAGAAACTTCAAGACAGAGTTATGGCCCTTGATAAGCTGTACAGTATGCATATAGAGCAATAATAGTTTCCGCCCTATTTCTCTGCAACTACTGGCTGGAATTCCATAAAACTTTATTGGAACAATCAATACCAAGTTGAGATGCGCATATCGTTGTCTTATGTTCCAGTCATAAACTTCAAGACAGAGTTATGGCCCTTGTACAGTATACATAAAGAGCAATATTGCTTTTTGTTTGCAACTGCTGGATTGATTTCAACAAGACTTAATGGGAACCATCAATACCAAAAGGAAATTTGCATGCCATGATAAATATATAAATAAAGCCTTATGTCTCCAGTTGTTGTGAAAGTAATAATCAGTACTCGGCTTGGGATATAAATTCAATGAATTTGCTTGTTATACTTTGAGCCAGCCCGCATAACTCAATCAGTAGAGCGCGAGACTTGTAATCTCGACATTGTGGGTCCGATTCCCAGGCTGGCCAACTAAAATTACTAATCAGTCTTTCTGATGAGACTTTAAATCGAGGTCACGTGTATGAGTGCTTTAACACTTGGCACGTTAAAGTACCAGGAGAAGCTTCTGGAATTGGGGCATCTTTCTGTATCTGTATCTTGCACTATCCTCCAAAATATAAAATGACTAATATTCTTCTGGAGGACTTGCCCATATGGGCAACCAGTGGCGAGTATAAATAAACTCAAATACACACACCATTTTACTTTGCTTTTATTTGCAGTTTGATTTAATTCATACATAGACAAAACAACATTTATTACCAAACCTTTATATAAATTAATTACAGTGAGAAAACTTGAAAAAAATATCATTTACTGGCATGGTCAAACATGAAAATTTATTTTCATGTTGTAGGTTTTGGACCCTGCTTTTTTGAAAACCTGGTTTTGCCATTACTCTTTCTTTATATATTTTTCAGTCATTCTCAGTAACTAAAAAAAATGAATTTCTTAGTGAGATTTAGTGCATATTCAACACAAACAAATATCCCCCATATCTCATATTTGCATTATATCCAACAAAAGTTAAAAACATTTTTTTTACACCTATAGTATCTCATTTTGAAACTATTCTCATTTTCAGGTCCTCAGAAGTTATACCATGTATGTTCAGAAGATATTTACAAACATTAGAAAAGAAAAGAAACAAAATCAACGTAATAAGAGCTACTATAAATCATATTGTAAGTTTCACACCATTTTATCATATGTTTGTTGTGCCAGCTTTGAATGTCATAGAATTAGCATGCGTTTTTAATTGTTTTTCTCTTTGCGAATTTTGCCATTTTTTTTGTAGCAGTGACATACTTTCTCTTATCTGTCTTGGTTGTTTCTTCCAGGTTGGTGTACAATACTAGTTTTAAATATTGTGACTGATTATATGACCCAGTGAAATTCAAATGCTTATATAACCAAGTCTATTAGACAATGTTTATATGGGAAACAAACATTGATTATAGCTCACGCTATATATGGACGTCGTTTCCATATTAATATTTTATTATCCTAATGATTTTGTGAAACCGGAGAGGTATAATTAAATTACATTAATTAAACAAATGTTTGTTATTATAATTTTTACTGATTTATATTGTATTATATATAGATGGATTTAAAGTCTTTAGAAATGTGTAGTATAAAATTTAATTTATGATATTGCATAGATGTTATGTGTATTGAGAATATATAGAGGTGATGGAATGAGTGTAGATCTACATACAAAATGAAGTTAAATGAAATTTTTATATCATACAAGCCTCTGACAAGCATAATATTATTTCGTTGATGGAGTTTGACAAATTAGTAATTGAACTACACAAATACAATTTTCTATTTAGCACATATACAACATAAGAACTGCTTATGGGTGTATTATTAAAACATTAAGTAATGATAAATATGTTTTGCTATGTTTGCAGTGATTACCATTGCTTGGTTCTACATGGTTTTATACATTTTAATATTATTGTCACTCTCTATATTGCTGCATGTACTTAAATAAAGTGTACTTGACTCAGCACACCAACATACAGCTTGAGGATCCTCTACATTCTCCAGTATAGTTGTCCTGTCTTTACAGTCCAAACTTACTCTATGTATACAAAAAGTCACGTCATCATTCACCATAAAGTACCTGTCATCTAACAGTGAAATACCTTGTGGACTTTCAATGTCTACATTCCTTCCTATCATCTGTCCCTGCCAGTTAAACCATATAACTGCATTCTCGCCTTTATCAGATACATAGATTGAATGGCTGTTTGTGGTTACATACAAAGGCCTACTGAAAATACTGTCACCATTGGAATCTTTCTCAACTGTTATTTCAATATTACCTTTCAAGTCCATGATTTGGAGTTTAACAGGAGTTGAAAAGGTGACTGCAAGTTTCCCCTGATGATGGCTTATCCCATAGCAATATCCATCTACTGTCAGTTTGTTTTTCAATGAGAGAGAGTTTGATGAGAAGGAAATAAACTGTATTGTGTCAATGCCTGGTAATGTAACAGCAAGTGTATCTCTGGTTACTTTGGTGATATCCCAGGGATATGTTTCAAGCTGTAATTGTTTGATTGCTCCAGTTTTTATGTCTATGATTTTAATTGAGTTATTTTGGAAATCTGCTGCAAATAATTGGTTCTGGGGAGAGACAGTTATACCAGTAATCCAGCAATCATCTTCATCTGAGGATAATTTAACATTGATGTTTCTAAGGGTAGACAATTTCATTGGTACTGGACATTTATTCTTTGGTTGAGATGGTATCTTCTGTTCCTTTTTTCTCAATGTTCCGAATGATTTCTCATTCTGAAAGAGTTTTTTGATTGCATGATTTGATTCAAAATTGTATTCATCAACATCATTGGTTGTTGGTAGTTGTTTTGTTATATTTTCATTGTGTAATATCAATTGCTGAGCTTTTTTCAATTCAGTAAATAATTGGTCAGTTTTCTTGTTGGTGTTGAGATGTTTTAGAGTATCAGCTGATGCTTGGAGTGATTTGTTGATGTCATCACACATTGTTTCTGTTGTTTTCAACTTTCTTTGATTTTCATGTTTGATTTTTGTTGCAGTCTCTTTAACTTCCTTTTCTAGTTCATCTAATCTTTTGTTTATCTCTTTTCTAAAGTTTTCTATTTCTACTATAGCATCTTTAAGAGAAATTGTTGATTTGTCAACTCTTTGTTTTAAATCTTTTGTAATCTGGCAGCATTTGTCTGTTAATGTGTTAATATCTTTAAGAGTTTCTTTGAACTCAGTGCTGTCTAAAATCTTCCCTGATATATTAGGTATATAGTCCACACGGCAGGATGTTGGTGTGTGTTCAAGGGTTACACAAACGCTACATATAAGTGTGTTATGGTCATGACAGTAGAACTTGATAATTTCATTGGTATGTTTAGGACAAGACTTTGTCAAATCAGCTGTCTTTCCACCAGAAGTAGATTTTAATGACTTATGGAGCTTTTGTTTATCTGGCATGTGATCTTTATCTTGAAGTTGGTGATGGCGTAGTGATTTTGGTCGCCTGTGAGTGTTAAAGCAAGTTTGGCATAAATGTTCCTCACAATCCACACAATAACCAAAGGCAGGTAGTCTGATGTCATCTCTGTCACATTGTTCACAGAATATGTCAAAATCTTCAGCACCTCCTCGAGATAGTGTAGATGACAGTTTCTGAGATGCCTTTTTACCAGGCACAGCCATAATGTAACCTAGAATAGATAGTTATTAATCAAGTCAAGTCAAAATTTTATTTGCAATTCGGCAGATATCTGCCTTTGACAATACAAACATAAATATACATATGGCAAACACATTAATAAATGTTCAATACTGGATATTATAAATTTTACTCATTAAGAAAATAAAAAACAAAGATTTTAATTCTAATACTTAAGTACCATTAGTGCCTTTTTCCTATATCTTGTGACAATTCAAAAACATTGATTTTAATTCTAATACTTAACTATACCACCACAAACGAAGTATAGTTGTTTGTTGGTGGGTCTCTTTCATGATTTTCTGACAATAACTAGAGTTTGGAAGGAGATGTTGTAATCAAACATGGCATAATAGCAACTTTAAGTGGGAACCCCCGTCAATGAAATTGCTTTAAGACCCCTTATGATCAAGGTCACTGTTACTAAAAATTTAAAAAATGGTTTCCAGACAATACCTTAAGTTAGGAATGAGTTATTGTGATTAAACTTGCTGTATATAGGAAACTTATATGAAGACCCTTGTCTCGGTATTGCATTAAGATTCCTGAGGTCAAGATCATCACTACTTAAAAAAGAAAAATGGTTTCCGGACAATACCTAGAGTTAGTAATGAGATATTTTGATCAAACTTGGTATAAAGGAAGCTTATATTTAGATCAAGCTTTGGATTGAATTTAGACCCCCATGGATTCAAGGTCACTGTTACTAAAAAGAGAAAATGTTTCAGACAATTACTAGTTTAGAATGAGAAACTGTGATGTGATTAAATTTGGTATATAGTTAGCATACATGAAGAACCAGGTCAATTTTATACCTTTTGGACCTCCTGTGGTCAAGGAAAATATCGCCATTACTAAAATATAGAAAAAATCGTTTCCAGACAATAACTAGAGTAAAGATTGAGATATTGTAATCACACTTCCTATTTAGAAAGCTCATATGAAGACCTGGGTTGGTATTGCATTTGGATACCCTTGGGTTAAGAACGCTATTACTAAAAATAGAAAATGGTTTCCTGACAATTAATAGAGTTATGAATGAGCCTTGGTTTATAGCATGCTAATATGAAGACCTTGGTTGGCACTGCAATTGAACCCCAGAGGTCAAGGTTAAGGTCACCATTATAAAAGACCTAGGCTGGCTTTGCTTTTGAACCCTTAGTATCACGGGTAACTGATACTTTACATAGAAAAATGGTTTCGGGAGGATAACATTTGTTAAGAATTACAAAGTTGATACTTAGTGAATTATAGGTTGAGTTCAAATTTGTCTTTAGGCCACTTATTTTTCAAAAAGTCAAGGTTGCTGATTGGTGTATTTATCACCTTTAGTGATAGCTCTAGTTACCATTAGTGTTTCTTTATACTCAGCATAGATATTTGGCATGTAGCAAGGCTCACTATCCATGGGGTCAAAAATAGCACTAAATCAGCCTGGGGGTCTTTAATTTATAAATTTATACAGACGTATATTGGAAAATACTTTTCTGTGTGAATCATCAAGACCAAAAGCTGAGATATTTGTCATTAAGCATTTCATAGCAGACATATATCTGAAGAATTATGCTGCTTTAGGAAAAAAAAGAGAGGAAAAAAAACAATAAAAAAAAACAAACAAAAAACAGATGAAATATGAAGTCATTCCTGACTTTGACATTGAAAATAATAATTGTGACCTTTCCTAGCAATATATCTTAGGTGAGCAATCTAGGTACAAGATTACCTTTTTGTTATAGTTTAGTGTCTGAGGTGTTTCAGATCATACCATTTGAAAGTATAGGTAACCTTATTGTCATTCCCCTTTAAAGAAATTTTAGGCAGATCATAGTGTCACATTAAACCCATCAAAATAAAATTGAAACCATAAAATTTTAGTTAGTAAGAGTTGTGGGTGGGGTACAGAAAATTTCTCTCAAAGTTATTTAAAATGTAGGGCAAATTTAAATCAATTTAAAGTAATGTAAATACTTGATAAACTTTATTTAATTTTAAAACATAGATATTGAGTAAATTGACTCACCGGGTATTTATACAGCTGGCTAGAATATCAAATATTGACTTCTTTAGTTTCTTATCTGACTAGTTACTTTCCGTCTATCCACTGCTATGTATTTAACCTGTATAAACATGTAAAGATAATATTTGATAAATATTTAAACCAGGAAGAATCATGTTACAACAGATGATATTACTCTAAACCAATATACATTACACTTAATGCGTTCGTTTGAGGTTTAACCAGAGGTTACTTTAGGTTTACCTTCTGTCTGTCAATCCGTCTGTCTTCTGTCCGTCCACAAAACTGAATCCCATGATGATGCAAAAAGTACTGAAAATATTTCATGAAACTTAATAAATGTGTAGATGGCTATGGCTGTCTGTGGATTGTGCATGTCTTTTTCTTTTCTTCCTATGTTGAAAAATTTGGTTGCTAAGGCAACAAATACATGTTTAAGATATGACAAATAAAACAATTATTTTGGTGTACTAAAAATATTTTTTGTGAAACTTGAGACATGGTAGATGGTAGTATTTTTAACTTTCTTATTTCTTTGTTGATTTACTTCAAGTTTAAAAGATACATTCATTATCAACACCTACATATACTATAAATGATATAATTGAAAAGTGTTATAATTTCACTTTTCTTATTTGTGAAAAGAGTTGGTATCCACTTTAAACTTAAGATATTCGTTTTGGGACAGTAGTCTATTTCCATTGACAGTTTTCTTTTTTATATTCATGTTATAAAAAAATGATTATTTAAAGAAAGGAATAAAACAATACAGTGCTTGTAGATAATACAAATTTGAAAATATTAAACATATCTTTTGAGCTATGTCTTTTTAGACAAAATCCCAATGATATAACAGGTTTAAAATACTATTATGTAGGTTTTGGTTTGTTTTGTTTTACAAAACTATTTCATTTAAATGATTTAAGGTCAGTTATCATAGATTTCAATCAAAGAAGTATGTATCATGCACAAGGTTTTGTTTAGTATTAATGGGACAATTTTAAAAAACATTTATGAAGATCATTTATCTTGAATTTGTTTGTTTGGCTATCAAGTTGGTTGATTCTTTCTTGAGGAAAATGTAGGTTAAAGACTTATAAGTGTTTTGTACATCCTTGTTTTGTATAGACCTTGTCAAATGCATCATTAAGGCACGTATGTTAAAAGCTGTGACAAAAGTGTTCAACACAGTAACATTTAACATATAAGTGAATAGTTCTCGAATACCATCAACCTTGTGTTCTTTGGGTAATGTCCCTTGATATGAAATAAATTTCGTTGTTGTGTGCAGTGGATGATCGTCTTTTTGTAACTTTTTTTGGACAAAGAATATATCAGTCTGTGACTTTTGTGTTCACTTTATTTTTAGAAATATGAAATATAATTTTGATAATTTAATTTGTGAAAAGCATTTCAATGGGAGTAACCTTTTAAGTTTATATAGACAAAGAAAACGTGTTAAATTTTTTCTTGTATGACCCTGCAATGCACATGTTATGTGGCTCATTAGGGGGCGTGAGGGATGTTGCACTTATTCAGTATCTCTCATGTACAGACTCAATCAAACCGAGTCTGCAATTCTCTTGTAATTTTGTTGTGATTAATGCTTCCGAGAGATCACTTTGTTTTCAGATTTTTGTTTACTCTTGTGGTGGAAACTTCAAATAATGATGTTTTTTATTGTTGTTAATAAGTCTTTATCTTGGGGATTACTTAATTTATATTGAGTTGTATAAGAAAAACATACTGAAATGTATTTGTGTGTTGTTTTTTTTTGTTTGTTCATTCAAGGAAACAGAAATAAGGCTGCTGTTTAAATTTTCTTACTGGCCAAGCATTTGTTTTTGTGTAAAAGTCAATTTTATTAAAATGCTATCCAGCAATATATTATTATTTTCACCTTTACTTGTTAATATCCACGATGCAAGTCTGAAATCAAGGGCAGATAAGTCTGCCAAGAACCTTTCATGTCCGGGATGCACATGTTCTAGTATGGTGAATGTCGGGCGAGTGGGTGGCGGGCGGGGAAAAAACTTTCTTAACACGTAGTCCCATACTGTGGTGTTCGATTTCAGGTCTGTCACTCAATTTTCAACATGAATAGTCAATGGTAGGAAATTTTCATAACAGTTTTCTCAGCCTCTTGATATTTGGTATACAGCAGTAACACATGGTCCCATACAATAGGATTCTATTTCAGGACTGTCCTTCATCCACTTCTTTTTTACAGACTTAGTTAAATGTTCGACATTAATGGTAGGAAATTTTCGTAACACTTTTTTTCAGCAACTTTGTATCACAGCCTCTTGATATATGGTACCGGTATACAGCATTTAAAGGTGGTCCCATATCTTGGTATTCGATTTCAGGTCTGTTGCTGATCCACTTCCTGTTTACCAACTTAAATAAATTTTCAGCATTAATTGTGAATGGTTTAAAATATTCATAACATCACTGAGACTCGTGATATTTGGAATACAAATGAAACCCAGCCATTTCTGTCTTTGACCCATTTTTACAGATTTATGCCTTTTGTCTTTTATAATCTCCAGCTCTGAGAAAAAGTGCTGCCCTCATATAGCTTATATTTGTTGATTTGTGTGATTCTACATGTTGTATGTTTCTATTTGGGTCTACATATATTATGTTTCTGTTTTAGAACTTAGAAGGTGACGACCATAAATCAATAAGACCAGAGCTGCTGTATGTAAGTGGGAGAATGTTTAAACAAAAATTAAACATTGATCAGGTAAAGGTTAGCTAACTAGTCCTTCTTTTTATAAATGTTTATAAGTAAATGAAGTGTTTTCTTTCATGATTTTAACTTAAACAAATTGACTTTAAAGGGACTCCACTGAGGTTTTAAAGCCTAAAACATAGCATTTGAATTTCTTACATCAATGAGCCGGGGCATTTTAAACGGAAATATATGCAAAGATAGTTAATAAATATACTTTGAAATAAATTGCAAAATCGTATTTGTATGCGTTTCTTAGCCCAATTTGAGTGAAAAGCATTTAAACGCTTTTCATTTTGGGTCATTGTTTTACAATTTGAATAATTATTCTAGAAAAAACGAAGTGCGTGAATGATCTGAAATTTTGCACAAAGATTAGTGGTCTAAACCTACATCAAATGGTACATTTATCTGAAAAAATATTTTCATTCCCATCATGTCAAAAAAACCTCAGTGGAATCCCTTTAAACGAATATTGTGCATTTTGCATGATTTCCTTTTTCATTAGTGACCTGTGGAACAAAACGTGATTCCAATGGTCGGTGACTTAATTTAGGTGACTGTTTTTGCTTGAAATTATATTAGGTCTGTCTCAACCATTATTCTTGGATAGTTGCCATGCAATCTTACAGTGTCCAATCAATGGTCACTTGGAGTATTTCATTTCGATAAATAGTTTTATTAACTTGTTAATGTATTCAAATAAGTTAAGTGTCGGGAATAGCTAGAATAGCTACTGGTCACAATTAAAGGTAATGTTTACTGTAACATACTGTAAAGTTATCTCAGTCATTCATTTGCTCAAGTTAATTCACACTTGAAATTTTACAATATAAACTGTTCATGTGATTTTATTGTACATGCACATGCCGATGGTGACTTTAAAAGGAGCTCATACAGAGCAATTTAAAGCACTAAAAATGAAATAAAAAAACACTGCAAGGATAATAATAAAAAATTCTCAGAATGAAATTAAACATCAATTTTTATGCAATTTTTAGCCCAATATGAGTAAAAAAAGTTGTAGAACTTTTTAGTCCTCTACCGGTTTAACCGGAGGGGACTTTAGGTTTACCCTCCGTCCGTCTGTCCGGCCGCACTCACAGGAAAGTAATTATGTGGCTAGAGGGAAAATAGGTAACTGTTCTTTCTCTTTGATGTCACTCATTCCGTAATGCTTTTATGTGGCTATTTTCTTTTGTGTGGCTAAAAAGAACAATAGAGAGAACAATAGAGTAGCCACATAGTTACTGTCCTGTGAGAAAGTCCGTCAGTCCGTCCACAAAACTGGATCCCTCGATAACACAAAAAGCACTGAAAATATTTTTATGAAACTTGATATATGAATAGATGGCAGTATGGAAATTTTGCACGTCTTTTTTTCTTCCTATGTTGAAAATTCTGGTTGCTATGGCAACAAATAGTCTGAAAATATGGCAAATTTAACACATAAACTGGATCCAGTGATAACTCAAAAAGTACTGAATATATTTTTATGAAACTTGAAATATGGGTAGATGGCAGTCTGAAGATTAATTTGCACTCCTTTTTCTTTTCTTCCTATGTTGAAAATTCTGGTTGCTATGGCAACAAATAGCCTGAATTTCAAGATTTCTGATTTAAATTTTTCAGCTTTTTCACTATAAGTTCTTTGTTTACTTCAAACTTTAAATATAAGTTTCTGGTCATCAACCACATCATATGTGACAAGGTTTACAGTCATCAACCACATCATATGTGACAAGGTTTACAACTCTAGCACCAAAACTTTTCAGTATTACCTCCCTTGGACTTAGAATTTTTACGAAAAAAAAATGTTGTCTTTTTTAAATAACTTCTTTATTTCCTAATGTATCTACTTCAAACTTCATATATATGTTTCTTATTATCACTCAACATTTTTGATAAGGTTAAATACTCTAGCAAGACTATTTCCAGAATTATGCCCCCCCCCCCCTTGAACTTAGATTTTTTTCGGGAACTTCTTCATTCCTTAAAGGATTTACTTTAAAATCCCACATCGTAATAATATGACAAGGTTGTATAAATATAATTTCCTTACTAGGCAGGGAAACTTAACACATTACTGTGATATAGACAAACTTAGAACTCAAAAGATTTAAGTTCATTCATGTCATTCATTCACTGGTAAAATTGAATGGCCAATTGCCCATCAGAATGTTGCTGGGGTTCTAACCGGTAGGGGACTTATGGAATAGAATGTGTTCTTTGTAGGAGTTGTTTTCTTGATAGATCATCTAGGGCACTTTAACAGAATGATATTCTAAAAATAATTCAGAAATATTCTGTGAAATAAATTGCAAACTGTATTCTTATACTATTGTTAGCCCGATTCAGGCGAAAAGCGTTGCATTGCTTTTCAATTATAAGTGTTTATACAATAAGAATACTTATTCTGATAAAACAGAGTAAGCAAATGATCTGAAACATAAATCTCGAAAATTTATTTCATGTCCTGTCATGTCAAAAAACCTCAGTGGAGTCCCTTTAATCAGCTGTGAGACATAGTTGACTATTAGACTTACTGTCAGAGTTCAGACTGAATGTCAGTTAAGGAGGCCTACATGATTAATAAAATTTCTTCATATATTATTTGGTAAGGTTTGTGTTAACTTTGTCATCAAGTTGCTGCACACAAATATTAGACTTAATGTCAGAGTTCAGACTGAATGTCAATTAAGTTGTCATAGAGAAATTAAGCCTAATCTGAGGATCAACCAAGCAACACCTAGATTACAAATCCTATGTGCTCCCTGTTAAGCTAAGCATGTGGACAGAAGTGGGAAAATGTAGAGATGAAGACTGTGTTTATAATATAGAATTGTAGCTGTATAGAGAGTAATTTTATGTTACTTATTGTATTGTAACAGTTAGCAAAGTGGTTCTCCCCCTATGGTAATGTGGATGTGAAAGCATATGGCCAAAATAAAGCATTGGTTGCTACATCAAATCACTACTGGTAAGACATTTCAATCTGTTTTAGCTCACCGGTCACAAAGTGACATGGTGAGCTTTTGTGATCCGGTGTCCGTACGTAAACTTTTGCTTTAAACGACATCTCCTCATAAAGCACTAAGCCAATTTCATCCAAACTTCACAGAAATGTTCCTTTAGTAGTCAACTTTAAAAATTATTCAAAGAATTTAATTCCAAGCAGAACTCCGGTTGCCATGGCAACCGAAAGAAAAAACTTAAAATATCTTCTTTTAGAAAACCGAAAGAGCTAGAGCTTAAATATTTGGCATGAAACGTCATCAAGTCAGTGTCTACCAAGTTTGTTCAAATAAATGCCCTGGGGTACAATTGGCCCCGCCCTTTAACTTATTTGTTTATAGTAAGAAATTTTCGAAAATAATGGTCAGTGGTAGGAAATTTTCGTAACAGTTTTCTCAGGAACTACTTATCACAGCCTCTTGATATTTGTCATACAGCATTGACACGTGATCCCATACTGTGAGATTTAATTTCAGGTATGTCGCTCATCCACTTCCTGTTTATCAACTTAGTTAAATTAATGGTCAATGGTAGGAAATTTTCGTAACAGTTTTCTCAGCAACTACTTATCACATCCTCTTGGTATTTGGCATACAGCATTTACATGTGGTCCCATACTGTGGGAGCCGATGTCAGGTCTGTTGCTTATCCACTTCCTTTTACTGACTTAGTTAAATTTTCGACATGAATGGTCATTGGTAGGTAATTTTCGTAACAGTTTTCTCAGCAACTACTTATCACAGCCTTTTCATATTTTGCATACAGCATTGGCACATGGTCCCATAATATGGGATTCGATTTCAGGTTTGTTGCTTATCCACTTCCTGTTTACTGACTTAGTTAAATTTTCGACATTAATGGTCAATGGTAGGAAATTTTCGTAATAGTTTTCTGAGCAACTACTTATCACAGCCTCTTGATATTTGGCATACAGCACTGACATGTAGTTCCATACCTTGGGATTTTATTTCAGGTCTGCTGCTCATCCTTTTTCTGTTAACTGGCTTAGTTAAATTTTCGACATTAATGGTCAGTGGTAAATTTTTTTCTTAACATCACAGAATCATGATTTTTGGTATACAAATGCAACCCGGCCTTTTCTGTCTTTGACCCATTTTCCTTATTTGTATATATTAAAAACTTTAAAAAATCTTCTTTTTAAAAAACCAAAATAGCTAGAGCTTAGATATTAAGCATGAAACATCTTCTAGTAGGTATCTACCAATTTTGTTCAAATAAAAGCCCTGGAGTAAAAATTGGCCCTGCCCCAGGGGGTCATGGTTTTTCTCTATCATGAAACATCTTCTAATGAGTGTCTACCAAGTCTGTTCCAAAAAGGGCCCTTGGGTAAAAATTGGCCACACCTCGGGGGTCATTGATTTCCCTTATATGTATATAGTAAAAACTTTAAAAAAATTCTAATAAAAAAAGAGCTAGAGTTTAGATACTAAGCATGAAATATCTTCTAGTGAGTGTCTACCAAGTTTGTTGAAATAAAAGCCCTGGGGTCAAAATGTTAGCCCCTGGTTTAAAATTGGCTTTGGCCCAGGGGCCTTTATACAGGTGAGCGATTTCAGGGCCATCATGGCCCTCTTGTTTATTTTTTGTGCCCTTTACAAAATCCTGATATCTGACTAACTATAATATTTAGTGTTAAAAAATAATATACTGTATGCAAAATAATACTCAAACTAATATAATTATTTTGAAGTAAACTTCAGGTGCTTCCTCGAGCTTGAAAAAGTGCTCTATGTCAAAATCTATACTGTATGTGGTGAATTGAAAATCCACCGAAAAATAAACATAGCAAGAAATTTATAATAAAATTATATACTGTCTCCACACATAACATAATGTTGGTTAGATATGAGAACAGTAGACTGTTTGACTGAGAAATTGATTACAGAACAACAGTTATTATGAAACATTAATCTATAACAGACTATTTAAAGCCCATTCAGAATTAAACTTAAAATAATTACTGAATGCCTCAAAAGTTATAAATAACAAAACTTTTTAATTAATTTATTTTATTGTATTATTCTTGGATAATACTAAACAATGAAAAAACACCATCTACGCCATGTATTATCAAACTATATCTGCAAACTAAAGAGGATCAAAGAATGACAACTTATGTACTCATGTTTTAATATATAAGACCAGAGGAGTTATCTTTCTTGAATACTTAATACAGTACATGTTTCCTTGCTTCTTACGGCTTCCTTATGCATTTTAAAAGCTGAATAAATATCCATATTACCTAAATATTGTAAGCGAGACCTTAAGTTGCCCCAAACCCGCTAATAATCATTGTTTTAAAACACGATTGTGTTTTGTGAAGCATTTGTTTAATTTATTTGTTTGTAAATGAACATATTTCATGATACACATGTTTAAGGTTATAGCTTATTTAAACTGTAATGTCTAAGGGTTGTTAACTTGTTGTGTGGATTTACGTGAAATTCTTTTTGAAAGTGACTGAAATGGTTTTCTTTTGAAAAGTAACTGTAGGTCTTTTTCTGTAGAAGTAAATTTTATGCAGTTGAAATATGTTTGTATTTTATTACTATTTTTACAGTGCCAAAGATATTTTACGAGCATTTAAACAGCATAACACAATCTATGTGACATATTATAGTGTATGGAAACACTCACCTATTGCCAGGGGACTTTTGTGGTAAGTTTTTGTTTTCACAAGTTATTGGATAAAATTCTAATCTTCTTACTAGAATGCTGAATTAATGTCATATGTTGAGGTTCGGATCGGAAATCCATCCAATTTCCTGCATTTTCTGCCATATTTCAAATGTATTACTTCAACAAATTATTGTTTCATAGATATTATTGTAATTTCATACACTTTTATCTTCTAATAATAGCGTATTACTTTACTTTTTAACATCAAAACAAAAATCTTTTATTTGGTATTGCTATTTCTGATTTTGCATATAACAGTGTTGAATATACTTCTTTTACCTAAATAAGTCATTTAGATGAAAACTTATTGTTATATATATATTAATACTCCAACTCTCTATTGCCAACTTATGTCAAATTTACAGTGTAAATCAACTAGTTTTGACTGGGTTTTACACAAACGCAATGTAAAAAGTAAATAATTTGCCTTTACTCAAAATGTAAATTATTGAGTTCACCAAAGAAACTCGATGCGAACATAGTGGAAACTGTTAGTATGTACTTTATAAAGGAAAAAAATATATAATGAAAATCCTGTAGCAAACATAAAAGAACAATACAAGAGCTTATACTTCTTTCCTTATATTTTTAGGACAGGGGTTTTGCTATCAGGAAGTGCTTGTGTTGTTGCCTTATTGACTGGTGATAAGGAAACATGATCCAAAAGAGATTTAATTAAAGGAAAAGACTTGAATTCATATAAAAGATGGGAAATTGACAGAAAAGATGGAATTAACATAAAAAAGACTTAAGATTACCAAAAAAAAAAAAAATGAAAAAGCTGGAGATTTTCATACAACTACTACTAAATTGATGATGAATCTTGTGTGGCAGGATAGGGAAATTACAATTAATGTTGGAAATCTTGTAGATGATATTATGGAAAGAGACAAGATGTCAACATTGAAAAATAGGATATCATTTTTATATCTCAACCACTTCGGGTTATGGGCAGTCATGTAGAATTTTCATTGTCCGTTTTTCATACTGTCATGTTGTTGGTCAGTAGACTGACAAAGCAGTGAAATGTTGGGGCATCTGCGTCCTATGTACAAATTTCTTAATTTTACAACAAATATATTCGGAAAAAATCAAAACTGAAATATAAATCAGCATGACTTTAAATCAGTAAATTGTTTGATTGCTTTAGGAACTGGCATATTGTAGCTTAGTTTGTCACACAAGAATAAATAAATGTTTTGCAGTGTCAAGCCGAGGTACATGTAGAAAGCTTTGATTAAAAAAATATATTGATCAAATAATTGAAGTAGTACATGAACACAAAGTAAAGATATTTGTTATTAACTTTTAGTTGTTACTGGTTTTAGAAATTTTATTTTCTTCTTATTTTGAATAAAATTCAATATCTAATTTATATGTTCTTTCTTTACACCACTCCATGGGGTTTAAAGTGTTACAGGGTAAATGTACATAAGTGAAGTATTGCCATCGCAAGTTAGATATTTTCTTTCAAAGAAAGTATGTTGCCATCTAAGATACCTTGTATGGTTATCAAAGATTTCCAATCAACACTTTTTTTATTTAAAATGCCTCATTTTAATCACATCATTTGTTGGAATTTGAAGGGTTTGAATTCATTATTTTAAAATCTAATGAATAATGATACTAGGTTCTCCGAAAAATCAGTGACCCCAAAACTTGATAACTTGCTTCTCTCGCTGTTTCCATGTCAACCTTCGGTTATACATCGGGAGGAAGATACAAACCACACCTACCATATCAACCCTAGATTTTATGTGTAGCGGAAGATACTGTTGAAAGCTTTCCTATCCCACTACTTCAACACAAACCCTGAATTATGCATGCTTGTATTTGGTTTGTAGCATCATCATTCGGTCTTCTGCGAAAGTTATGTAAATCATTCTCCTGTGGTCGAAACTGGCCCTTTCACAAATGTATATTACATATAGACTTATATTGGAAAATGCATTTACTTTTGCTGGTGGAAAACTGCAATGCCATGAGCTTATACATTTTGCATGAAGCATTGTGTAATAAATCTACAAAATTTTATAAATCATGTCCTTGTGTCAGCATACCGCCAAAATCCCTTTTTTAAAAAAAAAAAAAAAAAGTTTAAAATAGAAAAAAAATTTTAAACCCTTCCTCCTTCAGGGTTCAGAGCTCCCTCACTTTGTACGCGTTCACCGGAAATAGCCGTTCAAAACATTGAAAACGAAAGTAAAAAGATGTACATTTCCTTCCATCATAACATAATCGATTTTACCAAACTTAACAATTTTGTGAAGCTAAATATGTCTAGTTTTATAGCAGTATTTTCTTTTTTCTGCAAATTGAATACATTTTGTTAAATTGTAGATAAATTGTAGCAAATTTGTTGACATTTGCAAACGATGTTGATATTTACCACTAATCAAGCCCAAAACGCAGTTTCTACATCAAAATCCGTCTTAAATACAAAATATAGACTTCCCTCTACTTGTATTTGAATGGTCACCCATCAACTCGACCTGCATTTAGCAAAATTGCAAAAAAAAAAACAGTACTGCCTATTGTTGTCAGTTCAGAAACAGAGGATATTGAATGAGTGTAAGTTCAGCACTCGTTGAATAAAATAATATTATGATCGCCAGAGGCTCGCATAATATAATTTTATTCAACCGGTGCAATACGAGTACAATAGGTAAGTAATGAACTTACACGAATTTGATATTCTATTTTTTATCACATACCCAAAATAAAGACTGTTTAAAATGAAATAAGAGTCATTTTTCATTGACGCGCCTACAGTATATAACGCTTCACATTTATTGCGTATTTACACTATGTTTGTATAACACTAACGACGTCTCGTCAAAATATATGCTAGGCCGTGCAATACCATAATTACGGAGTCGCTTAATCGGCACGCGTACGGGTGTGTGATAAAAATCGATTAAGTTATGATGGAGAAATAAGTTGAAACATTACCTCGGGTGAACTTGACGTACACCTTTTTACTTTTGTTTTCGGTGGTTTAGGGCTATTTCCGGTAAACGCTAAACAAACCCGTTACCCCGTTTCCCAAAAAAAGGGTTTTTTAAATTTTTGCCAAAGGTGTTTCCCAAAATTGGGCCCCTGCTTGAAATTATTACTTGTGTATTTAAAAATTTTAGGAAAAATCCCATAATTTTGTCCTTTTTTTGATTAAAAAAAAACATTTTATCCCAGAGGTTTAAAATTTTTGGGTTGGGCATCTAAAAAATTATTTTTAATCATTATCACTTTTGGGGGCATAAAAGGTTTCCCGCCTTTGGATTTTGGGACGCTTTTACCAATACACGTATAAAGTGGACATTTGGGTTTTTTTAATCATCTCTTAAATTTCGAGGGACTTGGTATTATACAAACAAATTTACGGGGGAAACTCAGGCCCCCCCAAAAAATTTTAAATGTTTGCCTTTTTTTAAAAATTAAATTTAAACTAATGTCACTGCAAAAGAAAAAGTCTTGGATTTTAATAGATCTCAGAAAAAGTTTTTCCAAAAATTAGGGATGTAATATCACCTTGGGTTCTCTTTCAAAAATTATAGGGAAAACAGCTCTAGGGCCAAAAAAAAAACCAAAACCCCCGAAGTACCTAGTTCATTAAAAAAATCAATGTTTTTGGGCACAAAAACCCGGAAAAAATGCGAGTTTAAGGTCCCCCTTTCCTTTTTTGGGGGGTGACAATCCCCCCTTTTATTGGGAAATTTTTATTTAAAGAGAATAAAAATTCCCAAAAATTTAACTCAGGGAATTAAATGTTGGGGAAAATTAAAACCCCCCCCCCCCCCGGTGTAAATTTAAGTACACCAAAATTTGCAAAGGGCGAGTTGTTAAAGTAAAACCTTTTTAAAGGGGCCAGAACAGCTTATAATTAAAACCAGCTTTATACTTTATTGTTTGTAACTATTGATGCATATTACATATAGGACGATCGTCTCTTCTGAAATAGAACTATGTGGGTGGCGAAAGAGTCTAATTTTGCCTAATTTAATGTTCAATTTTGGAATTAGGAATTGAGGTAAATACTGGGAAAATTTGTAGATGGGCTATCCTTCTAGAGAGATGAATGGTCTATTTGAGACCTTATTTTAAACAACTTATTCAAATATATTTAAACAGAACAACAACTCAACATGAGCATGGTAATAATGTTTTGATAGCGTAGTTAAATGTTTTATTTGTTTGTGAACTAGCCAAGCATTATATAACACGTGATTTATTTTGTATACAGCCATTTTGTTAAATCAAGACGATATAAGTAACATTTAAAAGACTGGATATCGAAAGAAGAAGAAGAGAAATATGGCAAGAAATACCATTTCATTGTCAAACTTACTGTATTTGTACGCATTTAAAAACATGCATTATATCTAGTTAAATATGCATTTGAATTACTATTAAAAGACACTTAATAAAAAGGAAAATCACAGCATTAAGTTCGTCTCCTTCAGGAACTGTTTATTTAAATTTTGTTGCAAATGATGACGTCATTCCCCCGTCTGTGAAACCATTGAAGACAGATCAATTTTAGATTAATACGAAATTTATTAACTTTCCCTTTTTCTAGGAGCCGGGAAACATTGGCGTTCGTTCAAAAAATAACTTTATCGGTTTGACTTTGCCGCAATAAAATGATTTGACCCTTCTGTCCAAACACCAAAGTCGGATTCAACGGAGTTCATTGCGAATGTTTAGCGATCCTAGTTCCAATGCAAACTGCTTCGTCATCAAACTCACAGCAGCTTTTGGTGCATTATTTACCAGATACACTGGAGCTGATAACAGTGGAAAATATTGAACACATCTTTTACACCTATTGTACCTCATCTCTAAACTATTCTCATTTTCAGGTCTTTAGAAGTTATACCATGCATGTTCGGAAGATATTTACATACATTAAAAAAACAACAATAAAACAATCACATACTAAGAGCTACTGTAAATCACGTTGTTAGTTTCATACCATTTTATCATATTTATTGTGACAGCTTTAAATGACGTTGAATTAGTGTTCAATTTTAATATTTAATTGTTTTTCCCCACTGCAAAATTGCTTAATGTGGTTAGTAGTGACATGCTTTCTCTCATCTTTCTTGGTTATTCATCCTAGGTTGGTGTACAATGCTATATTGAAATATTGCTACTGATTATATGACCTTGTGCTTATATGGCCCCAGCTTTAGACGAGGTTTATATGGCAAGCAAGCATTTATACAAGCTCACATTATTTATTGGCGTCGTTTTTATTTTTGATTATCCTCCTGATGATATTGTGAAACCAGTAAGAGGTATGAATAAATTACATAAATTAAACATATGTTTGTTATCATAATATTTTACTTATTTATATTGTATTATATATAGATGGATTTAAAGTCTTTTAAAATGTATAGCCTAAAATTTTAATTCATTTATTATTGAATAGATTTCATTTTGTGTATAGAGGGAATAATTATAGAGGTATTGAAGAGTGTTTAAATGTAAGTTAAATAATGTGTTGAATGAAAAATTTTATTGTACAAGCCTCAGGCTAAGCATAATATTATTTCATTGAAGGAGTTGATAAATTAGTAATGAAAACTAACACAAATATAAGTTTCCTGATTAGCACATATACAAAATAAGAAACGGCTTTTGGTGAGTATTGTTTAAAAACTTTAAGTAATGATAATTATGTTTTGATCTATGTCTGCATTGGGGTTACCATTGCTTATTCTCATCATTTTATATATTTTGATAATATTGTTTTACTCTCTGTGTTGTAGCTGACT